GCACTCCCAGGCGCTGCTTTGCAATTCATGCGGAAAGCCCCGGCCAGCACACGGTGCCCATCCCCGTTGCCGTCCCCGTTTGTGTCTCCCCGCAGCTAAAACCTCGCTCGCGTGGCGTTTGCTTTTTATTTTAGCTCTTTCCAATAAAATCAAAGCACAATTGGGGCTGAGGGGTGTGCTGGACCCAACACCATGAGGGTGCTGGTGGGGATGTGGCCGTCCTTGGGGTGAGGACTGCGGGGCTGTCACCGCACCGATCCCTGTCCCCTGGCACCTTGGCCGTGGGGCTGCAGCTCCCTCCCTTGTTTTGCTGCCCTTCGCTCCGTGGGAGGCTGGCGCTTCCCAAGCAAACAAAACCACCCCGGGTGCCCGTGCTGCTCCGGAGTTTGGACTTTAGAGCCTGGCCTGGGAGTGGGGATGGATCCCCGGGGTGGGGGCAGACCCCGCATCCCGTCCTCCCCGCTGCTGGGGGATCCCCTGGTGCTGCCCGTGCCCCGTGTGCCGTTTCTGTCCCCAGCCCCACGTGCCCTGCGGTGGGGAGGAAGCCTTGCACCGGCTGGGAACAGCTCTTACATTTTCCATCTCCCTGGGGGGGGTGCGGCAGAAATAATCTGCCTCTTGTGCTGGCGCAGCCCCAGCAGGGACCGGAGGGTGCGGCGGGTCGGTGGCCCTGCACCAGCACCCGCAAAAGGCATCGCAGCTCTGACAGGTCCTGGGGCAGCTTCGTGTGGTTTGGCCCGTCCCAAAACACCGGGGAGAGCAAATCCCATCTGCGAGGGCTGAATGCGGGGACACTGATGGCAACGGGGAGAAATAAGGGGGGGGTTGAACCCAACGGCACCATGCCTGTGGCAGAGCAGCCCCATGGACACATCCTGGTCCAGAGCTCGCCCACCTGCAGCCTGCGCTTAAACCCCGGGGAGCCCTTGGGTGCTGCACCCTGCCCTGCACTCACCCAGCTCGTTAGCGAGCCTGAACCCAATCGCTTTTAAATGCAAGGGGTTTACAAGGTGCTGAGGGAAAGGATTTTCCTGATAAGCAGCTGTGTAAATGCGGCCATCCTGGTGCAGCGATGGAGGCAGCGATAGCCCCTGGGGGGAGGCCGGGCTGCCCGGGAGGGGGGGTCCCAGCTGGCTGGAGGTGGTTGGGGCTGGTGGGGATGGCAGCAGCAGGGCCCTGGCTGGTTTGCTCTGCTTTTCCCGTGTGGAAAAACAGGGAGAGTGAAAGTGCTCGCAGATAGGGGCTGAGCACCCTGAGAGCAAACCCAGCGGGGGAATCGCTCGCGGTCCTTCCTCGCTCGGTGCTGGTTTAGCGCCCGGGGGAGCCGGGCGGATTTTTTTGCTCCGGGCTCAGCCCTTTCCCCGTGCACCTGGGTTTTGGTTTGCTGCAAAATATGGGATTGTTTTCAGGAACCTCCGGGTCCCGCCGAGCCGCCTATCCTTAGCTCGACCCCGTCTGCCAGCGTGAGCAAAATATGTTTATGCTGCAAACCTCTGGAAGCCACCCCTGCCAAATCAACAGGGGAATGTGTGCGCCGATAAGGGCGCCGTGTCCTTTCCTTCCAGCTAATCTGATAGCCCGGCTGGGAAACGCGTGTGGAGCAGGGGCATGGGCCTGGGGTCCGGGCTCTGCGGCCCCAGGCGTCCTTAAGAAAGGGAAGAAAATCCCTGTAAGGCTGGGGAGAGCTGCGCTGCGCTGCCTGGCTCCCGACGCCCTCGTTTTATGATTGCTTGTATTGTTGTTGTAAGGTTTCAGGTCAAAAATATCCGTGGCTTTTCTGCTAGGCTGCTGCCAAAGCCTGGAAACCTTCAGCCGTGCCAGCGGCTGCGCTGCCCCCTTGGCTGCGGGATCTTGAACCCAGCCATCCGAAAGCATTAAAACTGCAGCAAGAAAATGTTTCCTGCACCCGCCCGGGTGCTTCTCCCATGCCAGGAATCCGAGCTGTTTTCCCCCTGCGTCTCCCAGCTTGCACGCTGGGGCTCGCAGTGCCCGGCTCTGTTGTTTCGCGGCGCTCTGAGCGCGGCCCCGCAGGGGATGGGGCAGCTCCGAGCCCCTCTCCATGAAAAGAAACTCTTCAACGTTTGGTTCTTGCTGGTGCTTCGAGTCATTTTCCATTCCCGGGCATTGTTTCTGGAAATAACGCTTTGCCGGGGAGAAGCTGTTGCACAAAGAAACCTCAGCCTGACGTGAGAGCGAGGGAGAAAAAAAGCAGGCGTCGCTCGGCTTGTTTGCGAAGGCGCAGCGGAGTTGTTGTTGTTGTGACACTGGACGGTTGCGAAACGGCGGCACAGAAATACCCAGGACTTTAAAAACAAGCCGAGCCCAGCTGCTGCTGCTGCTGCAGTGGCCGTGTGTCCTGCCGGGGTGGCCGTCTGTCCGGCTGCACTGTCCCCTTCCCCCGGGGACGCAGGGCTCTGGGGCGCGCACCAGCCCTGCTTGGGGATTTTTGGGGACCCCTCAAAGCTTCTCCAGGGGAGGGGAGGCGCCAGCTGAGCTGTGTGTTTTTGGGGGGGATTTGCCCCTCCGTCAGCCCCTGCAGAGTCATTGTGGGGGGGTTGTGATGCCGGGGGGGGGGGGTCCCGGCTGCCTCCCCCCGCTTCCGTGTGCGGTGAGGCGGCGAGGGGCAACCCCTGACATCTGCAGAAAGGGATGAAACACGCACGGTGGGGATCGGTTTGTTTGCTTAGGGATGAAGTGAAAGCAGCTCCTGAATGGCCACCGAATCCCCCCGGGAGCGGGCTGCGCTGTGCAGGTGGTGGCAGTGGTGGCAGCGGTGGCTTTTTGCCCGGCGAATAATCCTGCTCCGCGCCACGGCTTGCATGCGGGTCCGTCTGGCACCGAGCTCTTCCTCCTTCCACTGGGGGCTCGGGGAGGGCAAAACAGCCCAGAGAAGGGACTGGGTGGGGGTCTCGGAGCTGTGTTTGCCATAGGAAGAGCACCCCGGGGGTGGGTGTGGGACTTTTTGTGGGTTTTATCTTTTGGGGGCAGCGATTGGGGTGCGTGGCGGTCGTGTGGCCGGGCTCAGAAATAGCCGGCGTATCAGGAAACATAGAAATGCAGCGCCGCGCCAAATCATCTGACCCCCTCTAAAAATAAAGGCAGCGGGTCTTAAATTAGCTGTGGAGGTGTCTGGGGACGTGTGTGTGGGTGGCTGAGGGTCCTCGGCTCCGCTCTGCGCAGGAAAACCCCAAATCCGGCATTGCGGGGAGCGACCACGGCTCGGGTGCATTTGGGGCCGGTGTGCTGGCTGAGCTTTTTCCCCATTCCTGGCCTTTTTTTTGCTGCTTTTCCTGCAGCTGTCCCAGGGGGGAGTGCTGTGGCTCCCATGTGCCGAGTTGCCCGTTCTCAGCCCCCCGATGCCCCACGGTGCTCCTGGGTCGTGCACGGTGCCGGAGGGGGGCAAGGTCCCGTCCCCGCTGCCCAACCTGGCCCCGTCCCTCTCCAGCTTCCTCAGGTGGCTCCTGGAGATTCCTTGGAAAACGATTCTGAGCAATTCAAACTAATTAGGGAGCCCCGAGCCACTCACTCGCACTAATTGGTGAGCCCTCGTTAGTTTTCCCCAGCACATCACCCATGGGCTCTGTGGGTGCGTGGGGACGGGGCTGTCCCCAAAGGATTTGGGGGGACCCTGTGAGGATGATGGGGATGGGGGTGCCTCTTGCCCTCCCCCCCCCACCTTCCTGGGGTGTTTTTCAAGCAGCGATGGGGACTTGCTGTCCTGCCATGAACCCGGTCCTGTTGCTGGCTGCGTTAAGAGCAACAGGAATGATTAACTGGTGCTGGCGCTGGCCCCGCGCTGGGCTGAGTGTTTACCCCGAGCTGAGTGACCCCAGTGCTGCTTCCCTCGGCTCCAGCCCCAAAAATCAGGCTGTAAACAGGGGCCGGGCTGCAACCCGAGCGCTGCGCACCCGTAACAAAATACTTCCTCTGCCAGCACCTGAGGCAAGCCCGAGCGTTGCTGCTGGTTCCACCGTGAGCCGGCTCCACCGCAGTAAAAGCCCTAAATAATAAATGAGTTCTCCCAGGCTGCGTTTTGGGGGCAGGGAGGCTGCTGGGTGCCCGTCCTCCTCCTGATCCACATCCCTTTGGGTTTTGGAGGTGAAGGAGAGAGGCTGCACGCGATGAAGGAGTTCGGGCTGGAGAGGTGTCGGCGCGTTGCTGTGGTGCCGAATAAATCCCCCGATTTGTGGCTGGGGGGGGGTGATTTGGGGGGGATTTGTGGTTGGCATCGTGGTGAGCGACTGCTCTCAGCCCCCTGGGTCTGCTCGGTGGGGCCGTGGCCTGGATTTGGCCGGAGCTGGGGGAGCTCCGTGGGGCCGCAAGCGGCGCGGGGCTGGTGCCACCTCGTGGAGCTGGGCGCAGCTCAGACCCGCTGGCGCCGGACATGGGCGCACTGGGGGGGCTCAAAATGAAACCACGGGGTCGTGGCCATCCCCATCACCTCCCTGGGATCCAGGAGCACCGTGGGGATGTGACACAGATCCAAACGTGATGCTGCCACCCCCACCCCCTCTGTGCACCCAGAGCAAAGCCCCGGTGCTGGGCGCAGCACCCCGGGGTGCGGGGGGCACCGGCGGCTCTGAGCGGGGAACCAGATCTTGGTGAAACCCCTTGCGAAGCAGTTTTAAACCACAGCGGCGGTGCTGAGCAAGAAGGGGGGGTGCTGCCTTTCCCCAGACTTCCCCTTGCTGCTCCCCCACGCACTTTTTTTTTTTCTTTTCCCCCTTTTTCTTTTCTGCACCCTCAGCAAATACAGGCGGCTGCCTCCGGTGCTGACGCTCGGGGCAGACGAAACCACAAACCACGCTCCATCTTCAGCAGCATCTGAAGGTTTCTGCCCCAGATAAGGCTCACGGTGCTGGCACAGCCCCAGCTCCCGGCAGGATGCTGGGGAGGGGCCCTGCCGGCCCCCAGCCCCATTGCTCGGGGTCTCAATGCCAAACCCTCGAGTGATGCTGACCTGGTGGGACAAGGATTGCTGTCTGAGGCCTGCTGCTTCGTGCATTTGTTTTTTTTTTTCTTTAATTTTTACAGCCTGGAACAGCCGGTGGTCGGCTGGGGCTGGATGTGCCCCCATCCTGCAGGGGCTGGCTCGAGGCGTTTGCTCTCCAATGCCATCCCGAAGCGGCTTTCCCATGGCCGAGGAAATGTCCCCAGCTGGGTCCACAGCTCCCTGCCCTTGGGTTTTATTTCTGTGCCAGGCACAGCGCCATGGGCAGCACCTTTGGTATACTCAGCAGCAGCTCCTGGAAATCAGAAACCCCCCTAGAAAGCACCACAAACCCATGGGGCCGCGCCTCGGGGTGGGCGCTCAGCATCCCCCCGGGTGCCCGTGGGACCCCGCTCGTCCCCCTCCTGCCCCATCTCCCTGCTCACTACAGCACCGACTTCTCCTGCAGCAGCTCCGAGCCCTCCTCGTCCCTGATGATGACGGGTTTGTCGGAGATGAGCAGGGCGAGGGGAACCAGCAGCCAGGGAAGCCCCGAGTTCCCCACGTCCTCCTCCAACGTTTGGTGGCCGGAGCACCCGGTGCCGCAGGTGGGACCCCTGTTGGATTCTGCTGGTTCTGGGCTCGGCAGCGGGCTCAGCACCTCCTGCTGCCGGTAGTCGAAGGGCAGCTCCCTCTCGCAGCCCAGCTGCCCCAGCTCCATCGGTTCTTTGGGTTTTTTGGGGCTGGGCTGCGGTGTGGGGGGCCGCGTGCCGTCGGCCACCTCCTTCTCGGGGCTCAGCTCCGTCACCAGCAGCTCGGCGAGGTTGAACTTCTCCGAGGGCTCAGCGAAGCCTTTCCAGGGCCTGTCCTAAAGGTTTTGGGGGTGTTTGGGGTGGGAAGGCTCGGCGGTGAGGTCTGTGCTTGGGGTGTGGAGGGTCCGGCCCCGTCGCAATCCCGCTTTGTGTCTCACCTGGCTCATTTCGCTGGCCGAGAACTGGATGGCTCTGCTGCCCACGGGCTTGGGCAGCGGGGGGAAGAGGAGCTGCCGGGCCCTGGGGGGATGCCAGAAGTGGGGGGTTAATGGGGGGAAAAGGGGGAAAAGAGGCGGCACAGCGGGGTCACGGCGCTGCCTTCACCTCCTTTTGCTCAGCTGGTAGATGACGGCGGCGACGGCGGGGAGCCCGAGCGAGATGCCCAGGTACCTCAGGTTGGATTTCCACGCTGCCAGCCTGGGACCTGGGGACGAGCGTGCTTGGGTGGCGGTGACATTTCCAGCCCCACGTCCCCTCGCTGTCCCTAACAGCACAGGAGGGCCACCGGAGCGTCCCCACTGGGAGAAGGAAGAGGTCCCCAGCCATTACCCAGCGCCATGGTCTGGAAGTGCCACGGGGTGCTGCAGCTGCCCCCGCCGTCCGCTGCCACCTCCTGGATGCCGACCCTGTAGGCTGTGCCCGGCCGCAGGTTTCGGAGGGTGTAGCGCGAGGCCAACGCAGTCTGCTTCGCCGTCTGGATGAACAAAAACAAGCAGGGCAGCACCCGGCCCCCTTCCCACCCACCCGCGTCCCCTCCTGGCCATAGGCCACCGCCACTCACACGTCTCGTTGTCCCCTTCAGCCGCGTGGCACACCAGGTACCTCGCCAGCGCCCCGGGGCAGGTGGCACGAGGGGACGGTTCCCACCGGAGGACAGGCGGCCTCGGCGCTGGCGTTGATGCGGATGGAGGAGGCCAGCGAGGCTGCATGGAACCAGGGGGGGACAGGAGCAGCTCTTTAGGGTCACGGCACTTTTTATGGCACGCTGGGGATGCGATGCTCCCCGTTCCCATACGTACTGTTGCCGGCGAAATGATGCTGCAGGGCGAAGGTGGCCCAGCCCTGCTCCGCGCTCCAGCCGTGCACGGCGAGCCGGTAACACGCCGGCGCTTCCAGCGACCCTACGGGGGAACCAGCACCCTGTGGCAGCCTGGCCAGAGCCGGTGGGAATTTGGGGGTCTCAGGCACCCTCTTACTGTTCTCCAGGTGGGAGCTCTTTGCAGGGAACTCCTGCTGGACGCAGACACCCCGTCGGCGCGCTCCCGGCAGCGGCTGCTGCTCGAAGCAGTAGGCGAAGCCGCGGCTCGGCGCCTCCCATCGCACCGTCACCTGCCTCGCCGGCCGAGCTGATGTCCTTAAAGCTGAGCTCTGGGGCGAAATTTGGGGGGCTCAGCGGGTGAGGATGCTGGGGAGGGGCGTCACCGAGGAGCGGGGTCCTTTCCACGGCACGCGCGTGGGTACCTGCGTGCTGCTCGGGCGGCACGTGGAGCTGCCGCGTGGGGCTGGTGCCGGCGGCGTTGGTTGCCGTCAGTAGGATTTCGTACTCGGCCCCACAGAGGGTGAGGTTGTGCGCCCTCACCTCGGGTCCCAGCACCACCTCGTCGGCCTCGGGCAGCGCGGCGCAGCGGCACGCCGGCATGTGGGTGCTCAGCGTGTAGGTGACGTTCCCCTGCTCCTCGCGAGCTCTCTGGGGTGGTGAGAGTGGTGGCCGCGGCGGTGCCAAGGGGAGAGAAGGGGTCCCAAGGGGAGAAGGGGGGTCCCAAGGGGACAGCTGGGGCTGTTCCAGGTGGAAAGCCGACACTGCCCTACCTGCCAGCTCAGCTGCAGCAGCCTCTGCCCGTTTTTCCCCAGGTTTCCCAGCTGGAAGCTCAGCTCTGGGCTCTCCAGGATTTCTGTAAGAGGAACGATGCCAAGCGGGTTGCCAGCCCGGGGTGCCCATGGCAGGGTGGGCGGGGATATTGGGGTCCCTTCTCACCCTCAGGGACGAAGATGGATTTGCTCCAGTCGCTCCAGTAGCTGCTCCAGTGCTGCGTCTTCTGCCGGAGCTGGACCTCGAAGGCAGCGTTTCCCCCCAGGTCGCAGGTCACTGGGACAAACCGGGGGGGGTGGCAGTGAGAGGACACCTCCCGGGACGTGTTCATCCCCCAAAAACCCCAAGCAACCCACAGGGCACGGGCTGAACCCACCTGGGTCCTCCTTGCTGTCCTCGCTCTTCCCTGTCTCGCACAGCACCTGCGGAGAGAAGGCAGGATGGGGGCACCCGCCCAGTGAAACCAGTATGAAACCAGTACAAAGGAAGGTTTGTTACTGGGGCATGGGAGAACCGAAAGGGGTGCAGGGGATATGGTATCTGGGGGTTTCCCTTGGCTGGGGTCCCACAGCTTTGCCCATGGAGCCCCCCAAAAAGTGGTGGTGGTGCCTGGGGTGCCCTGGGGAAGCACTCAGGTCTCTCTGGGAGCAGCGTCAGGATTTCATCTGCCATCAGCTTTATTCTAATCCGGGGTTTTGCCTGCGTAATCCCCGCCAATCCCTCCCTGATCCTGTTACGGGTGGCAGCGCGATCCCATCCCCGGGATGCCGGTGGAGAGCCGGGACCCAACCAGGCGGGGACGGTGCCCCCGAGCCCCCACGCTGCATCCAGGGCTGCTCACACCCCTGCAAACCCCCCCCTGCTCCTCACCACCAACACTTTACCTGCGTCCAGCTGTGGTTGCCCACCCCGCGGAAGCGAGCCTCCCTGCTCAGCTCCCGCTCCCTGCCGCGCAACGGCGGCCGCGGCACCTGGAGCTGCAGGAGCCCCTTGGCCTTGGCGAAATTCATCCCATCGGGGGGAGGATCCAGCTTCACTGCGGGGACAGCGTGGTTGCGGTGACCGGCACCGTGGCGGCGCGCCCAGCCCGGCCTCGCGGCGCTTACCGGCCTCGTTGAGGTACAGGGTGAGGTTGGGGCTGCGGTGCAGGTGGGGTCCCCACCGCGCCTCCACCCAGGCCGTGGTGTTGGTGAGGACGTAGACGCGGTGCCGCGGCAGGGTGTAGGTCGTGGCGGCACCCGCCTTGTACCGCCAGCACGTCCGTGATGTGGCATAGCTGGGGGAAAAAAAGCTCGCCCTCTGCGTGCACGGGGAAGGGGGGGGGGACCCATGGCACGTCCCCAAATATCCCCGTGTCCCAGTGGGCTGCTCGGGGCTGCCAAGGGGATGTGGCACCCGACTCACCACAGCACCAGGACGTAGGTGGTGTTGCCAGCGGGGCCACGGGGCGGCCAGGAGCAGAGGAAGTCGCAGGAGCCGCATTGCTTAAAGCAGGAGAAGTCGGGGGGCTCGGCGGTGCCTGCGGGCAGGGGGCAGCGGCTGTGGCCGGGCTCAGGTTTGCTTCTGCCCCACGGCACCCCGCAGACCCCCGGTGGGTGCCAGAGGGGCACAGGGAGGGAGACGAGGGCGTTGCAGTGCTCCTGCTCCTGCCACCAGCATGGGAACTGCCCCAAGTTCCCCAAATCACGCTCTCCAGCACCCGGCAGCGCTGTTCTGTGTGGCTGGAGGTGGCTCCGAGCCCACATGGAGGGCGCGCAGCCAGTTTAACCAGTAGCGGGGTTGTCGGCTCCCGCTTCGCTCCCAGCAGTACTGGGAAGGATGCGGGCAGCGGGCAGCCGCCCCCCACGCTGTGCAACTGGGACAGGGGAAGCGGAGCGGCCACGCAGGTGATTCCCACCCCAAAAGCACCCTAAATTTCCCCAGGGATGCTGTGCTGGAGGGGGTTCCCGAGCCCAATCCTGCTGCCCCCATCGGGGCTTCCTTGAGTTTTGCCCTGGCCCGGCAGCGTGAGGCAAACCCCCTCCATCCCAAAACCGTGAAAGTTCTTGCCCTGCCCTGCTCGAGAGGCGCCTTATCTCCCCCTTATCGCCCCCAAATCGTTCATTGAAAGTCTTCTGCACTTATCTCTCATCTCCGCACGCCGCAGCAGCACTCACCGCCCCGCGCCAGCGCCGCCAGCGCCAGCAGCAACCACCCCAGCATGGGCTGCTCGGGGATCCCCAGCTTTCGGGCTCCGTCCTCTCCGGATCCCCTTCCTTTTGGGGTTCCCGGAACCCCCCAGGGCACAGCGGCACCCCCCGGGCTCGCAGCAGCACCCCTCTGCCTTGGCTGCTGCTTCCTCTTCTGCTACGAGCGGCTTTTCCCAGGCAGAGCAAGTGTGCTGGCAGCACGGCGTGAGGTGTGAGTGCCTGCCTCACTTTTACCAAAAACAAAAGAGAAAGCAACAGAAACATCCCCCTCTGCTGCCCGCACGCCCGCCACGGGCCCGGCCAAGCACCGCAGCCTCGCGAGCAAGAAGAGCAAGGTAAGCAAAAGAGCTGGTTTGGTGTCTTTCTGTTGGTTCTTTTTTTTTTTTTCCCCCAAACCCCAGTTGTGTTTTTGACTCCGCTGCCTGTGTTTGGCTGCACCCGGAGCTCCGAGGCCGGCTCTGGGTGTTTGCAGCACGCAGGGCTCGGTGGCAGGATGGCCGCGTGTCCCGTGGGACTCAGCCCCTTGGTCCCCAGCACAAATTGTCCCCCGCGGCCAAAACAAAGCCCCAGTGAGGCACGAGGGCACGGCGTCAGCGGGGCGCTGGCAGCGCGGCCGCATGACCCCGGGGCGGCGGGGCCGGGTGGCACCGCGGGCCCTGCACAGAGCCCCCTTGTCCCCGCAGAAAGCGTCCCCTTGTGCGCCTCGCTCGGGGACAGAGGGCGGCGGTGACGGGAGCGTCGCTGTGCTGGGTGGGCTGGGACGCGTTGTCCTGCTGCGGCGGGCACGCACTGCAGCCTTGGCCTTCTTGGAGGGATGCACCGAGCCGTGCCGTGCCAAAGCAAGCCGTGCCATGCTGTGCCATGCTGTGCTAGGCTGTGCCGTGGTGTTGCATGATGTGCAAGGCTGTGCCATGCTGTGCCAGGCTGTGCCAGGCTGTGCCAAGCTGTGCCAAGCTGTGCCATGCTGTGCCATGCCATTCTGTGCTGTGCCAAGCTGTGCCATGCTGTGCCATGCCATTCTGTGCTGTGCCAGGCCGTTCTGTGCTGTGCCAGGCTGTGCCATGCTGTGCCGTGCTGTGCCATACCGTGCCATACCGTGCCAGGCTGTGCCAGACTGTGCCAAGCCACGGCAGGCTGTGCCATACCATGCAGTGCCATGCCGTGCCGTGCCGTGCCATGTCCCAACACACACAACAGCACCACGCCGTGCCGTGCCAAGGCTGGGCCAAGCCGTGCCGCAGCCCCGCAGGGCTGTGCCGTGCCAAACCGTGCCGTGCCAGGCTGGGTCACCCCGCGGCGCGCAGTGCCAGGGCTGAGCCACATCACCCCGTGCCATGCCGTGCCGGGCTGTACCGAGCCAGGAGGGCTGTGCCACCCCCGTGCCGTGCCGTGCCGTGCCGTGCCGTGCCGTGCCAGCCCCGTGCCGCTGGGCGGCGCACCGGGCGCACCGGGAGGCGGCGGGGGGGGGCGGCCCGGGCGCACCGGGCGGAGCGGGCGCAACGGGAGGCGGCGGCGGGCATGGACGAGCCCAGCATCCTGCGGCGCCGGGGCCTCCAGGTGAGCCGCGGGGAGGGCACCGGGCACCGGGAGCGGCGGGGGAGGGAGCGGGGAGGTGGCGGGGAGCGGAGAGGGGCTGCGGGGGTGCTGTGAGGGTGGAGGGGGTGCTGGGGTGGGTGCTGGGGGTGGGAGGTGGGTGCTGGGGGCGTGGGTGGGAGGGAAAGGGGGTGCTGCGGGTGAGAGGGGGGTGCTGGGTGTGTGCGTGTGTGCAGGAGGTGGGTGCTGGGTGGGCACGGGGTGGGTGCTGGGTGGGTGAGAGGTGGGTGCTGGGTGTGCAAGAAGTGGGTGCTGGGCGTGCAAGTGGGTGCCGTGTGGGCACGGGGTGGGTGCTGGGTGTGCAAGAAGCGGGTGCTGGGTGTGTGCAGGTGGGTGCCATGCGTGTGCAAGAAGTGGGTGCTGTGTGGGCACGGGGTGGGTGCTGCGGGTGAGAGGTGGGTGCTGGGTGTGCGAGAAGCGGGTGCTGTGCCTGTGCAAGTGGGTGCTGTGAGTGTGCAAGAAGTGGGTGCTGCAGGTGAGCAGCGTGCCCGATGGGACCAGGGCCGTATCCCTGGGGGGCTGCACTGGGGGCTCCCACTGAGCACCCCAAAGGGCCCCCCCTCTCCCTGCCCATCCCTGCGCCCCCTCCCACAGGGACCCTGGGCACCCGCTGCCGTTCTCAGAGGGGAGACAACCACAGCAGGGACTGGGGGGGGGGGGGCTGAGCGTTGAACCCGGGGGCTCGGCACCGATTTTCCGGGTGACCTCACGCCTCCGTCCCCATCTGCAAAAAGGAGCCGCGGCCACCCCGCAGGCCCAAACCGAGCTGTCGGGGCGGCTGGAGGATGGCACGGCGCTGCCTTCATTCGAGCTGGCAGCTCCCCGGGGCGCCCGTGCTCCGCTGCACGCTCAGCAGCACCGGGCAAAAACCGTGCGCGGGGGCTGCAGGCCCCCACAGCACCACCACGGGGCTCCGGGCTCTCGGCACGGGCATCGCGCTTGGGTGCCCCTGCGGTCCCTGGGGGGAGCAGGAGGGGTGGGAAGGGTCACCCCAAAGTGCTGGGCAGCAAAGTGCCCCCCCCCCCGGTGCCATCCCTGATGCCGTCCTTGCAGGGAGCAGCTTAATCCTGGCCCCCACCCAGACCTGTGGATGGGGGCAGCACCCTGTGGGTTTGGTTCTCTGGGCACCCTGAGGGTGCTGGCCCCATGGTGCCACCCCACAAGGGTCCATGGGGCCTTTGCAGGGTGCTGTGGCTGTCCCTGGGGTGCAGCAGGGGCTGGAGAGCCCCCAGCAGCGATGGGTGCTGGGTGCTGTGGGCCCGCTCTGCACCCACACAGCTGCAAATGGGGTGGGGAGGGTGTGCCGTGGGTGGGGGTTAATTCTAGGGAGCCTGGGGGGGGGGTCTGTCCTTTGTCCTGCTGTCCTGCCTGCAATAAACCCCAAGGGCAGCATGGGCCTGGGTGGGGGGCACAGCAGGGTGCTGGGGGGCTCCTGCTCCACATGGGGACCCCACAACCCCTTCCCCAGCCCACATCTGGGGTCACCCAGTGCTGCTGGCACCCACACCCCCCTGGGAGGGGCACCCACTCCCCCCAGCAGCACCCGTGGGCCCCAAATCCCGCATCCCCACGCACGGGGCCGTGATATCACCCGTTGCCAGGGCGATGCTGCTGCATCACCGCACGCCCCAGCCCCGGGATTTCCACGGGGGCCGTGGGCAGCGGGACTGGGCGCGCGGGCACCCCGGCTGCGTGGGGGACACCGCTCGCCCCCGCAGCGGCGCGCGCTCAGCCCCCACCCGTGGGTGCTGCCACGTCGGGAATGTGTTTAAGCTGCTTAGGGGCAGGGGGGCGGTGGGTGCAGGATGAGGCCAGCGGTGGGCATTAGCCCTGGCACGGGGCTGTGTGTGCTGGCACGCTCACGCCGTGCCAAAGTGGGGGGTCCCCGACGGACCCCAAAATGCCAGGGGGACGGAGCAGGCAGTGCTCCTGCTGCACCGCTGCCCTTCGCCCCCAGTTGCAGCAGCCGCAGGCAAACAGCTCGTGCGAGAAATATTCCTGGTGGCTGGAAAAATAAACATGGGGGGGCACCGGCTGCTCCCCATGCCTGGGGAGCGGGGGACGGGGATGGGGACGGGGCACGGCCACCCCCCGGGGTCACGCTGCAGCCTGGTGGCTCGGCAGCTGCTCCTGCTCTGCTGTCCTCGTGTCCAGTGTGCCCAGATTGGCCTCGGTGCCACCAGCCCTGGGGATTTGGGAAGGAGCTGTCCCCCCGTGCTCACCCCCCAGGTCCCCGCAGCCACCCTGACCCCGCTCTTTGCTTCTCTCGTTGCAGAAGGAGCTGAGCCTGCCGCGCCGAGGGAGAGCGTAAGTCCAGTGGGCAGGGGACAGGGGTGTCACTGGGGGGGGACGGGCTTGGGGACACGTCACCGGCCCCCGGGGTCACTGGGGATGGGCATTGGATGCCAGCGCGGGGTGCCCAAACCCAGGGTGGCATCACCGTGTTCCTGATACTGGAGGGTCCCAAAATGCGTGTGTTTACTGGGGTGTACTGGGGCATACTGGGGTGGACTGTGCCATGTTGGGGTGCGCTGGGGTGTTCTGAGCTGTACTGGGATGCACTGGGGTGGACTGGTGTGCAGGCAGGAGGCAGTTGTGAGGCTGCGCTGAGGCTGCGTTGGGGTTTGTTGGGGCTGTTTTGGGGCGTTTTAGGGCGCTTTGGGGTCTTGTGGAAGGAACAGAGGGGTGTACTGGTGCTGTGCCAGCTTTACTGGGGGATATGGGGCGTGCAGGGGCCGTGCCAATGGTGTGCTGGGGAGGACACTGGGGCCGTACTGGGGCCGTACTGGGGCCGTACTGGGGCTGTGATGTGCGGGCATCGGCAGTGCCGGGGCGCATCCCAGAACGGAGCAGCCTCTGGACTGGGCTGGGAGGGGTGTGCTGGGAGCTGGGGGGCTGCTGAGCCGTGCCGAGCCGTGCCGTACCGGGCTGTACCGAGCCGTACCGGGCCGTACCGGGCTGTACCGAGCCGTACCGGGCCGTACCGGGCTGTACCGGGCCGTACCGGGCTGTACCGTGCCGTACCTTCCCGTACCTTCCCGTACCGTTCCGAGCCGTTCCGACCCGAGCCAACCAACCCGTTCCGACCCGAACCGTGCCGCAGGGGCGGGTCCGGGCCCGGCGGGCCGAGCCCGGCTCCCGGTTGGGGCCGCCGCCGCCGCCGCCCGCCCGCGGGAGCCGCCCAGCGCGGGGGCTGCCGGTGCGGCGGCGGCGGCGGCGGCGCGGGGAGCGGAGCGGGGCGGTGAGGGGCGGCATGAAGTCGCGGCGGGACCGGCTGAAAATCCCCTCGCTGACCTTGGAGTGAGTCGGGGCTGCCGGTGGCACCGGTACCGGGCTTGGGATGCCGGCGGCGGCGGCATCCCCGCATCCCGAGCATCCCCTAATCCTGAGCATCCCTTAATCCTGAGCATCCCCTCATCCCAAATAGGATATCCCCACATCCTGAGCATCCCCTCATCCCAAATATCCTCTCATCCCAATCATCCCCTAATCCCAAGCATGCCCTCATCCCAAATGGGATATCCCCACATCCTGAGCATCCCCTAATCCTGGGTATCCCCTAATCCCAATCATCCCCTCATCCCAAGCATCCCCTAATCCTTATCATCCCCTCATCCCGGGCATCCCCTCACCCCCACATCCCTACATCCCCTAATCCCAATCATCCCCTCATCCCTGCACCCCCTCACCCCTGACCCCCACATCCCCTCCCCCCTCCACCCCATACCCCCGCTGCCCAGTGAGGACCCCATCTCCCCCCCGCAGCCCCCATTCCCCTCTGTGCCCCCCTCCCCAAACCATCCCTGGCCCCCCATATCCCCGCTGCCCCCCTGCAGCTCTCCCCTCTCCCGTCCCCATCCCTCATCCCTCTGTCCCCAGCCCTTTTCCCCCCCCTGGTGTCACCCCCGGGGGGGGTCCCCGTGGCACCGGGTCCCGTTCATGCCCTTGCCTTGCAGCCTGTCCCCGAGCAGCCAGAGCCCGACGCTGCTGAGCCCCTGCAGCCCCTGCAGCCCCTGCAGCCCGTTACTAACCCTGCACCCCTGGAGGTAAGCCCCCTCCCCCAAATCCCAAACCCCACCCCACACCAAGAGGGACCCTGCACGGAAAGGGGACGGGGCGATGAGGTGGGTTCCCCCCACCAGGGACACCCCGGGGTGGGCGGAAAGGAGGAGGGATGGGGTCTGTCACCCCAAAAAGTGAGCTGGTGTCTGCTCTGGGTGGCTCCGTTTTGGGGTACCCCATAGGATTGCCATTGAGGTGGCTTCAGGTTGGCCTCTGAGCATCCTCTTTTTTGGGGGGGATCACCTCAAAATGGGACCAGGGGGATGCCCCGGTTGGCATTGGGGACGGCGCCTTCCTCCCACGTGGGAAACCCCCGGTGCCCTATTTTCCAGCCGTGTCACCTCTTTGTGGGATGCTTGGGGTTATGGGGACATTTGGGGCCGGGGTGCAAGAGGGGAGGCTGCGGGGAGGGTGGGTGCTGGGGCCAGGCTGCTTTTTTGGGATGCGGGCAGTGGGGGACAGTCTGGGGACAAGGACATCCCTCTGGTGGCATCCCAGCCCCGTCAGGGTGGGGATTTGGGGGATTTTCAGCCCGGTTTGGTGATGCTGTCCCGTGTGGGGTTTGAGCTTGTGATGTGCCAGCACCTGACCCACTCAGGGAGCCGAAAAAACGAGGCCGGGCACCGGGATTTGTGTCACTGGGTCTCTGTGCGGGGTGTCCCCGGCTCAGCACGGGAGGAAGTTTGGGGGAGGGGGGGGATGCCATATGGGAACCCCCCAGCCTCGCGGCCCCATGGGGCAAAGCACCCGGTGCAGGGGGAGGCACTAAGGGGAGCCCCCCGGGGGTGTCCGTGGTGGGGAGCTGGGGGCAGGTTTTGGGGCCTCCTAGCCCCTGTTTGGGGGGGTCATGCATGAGCAGCGGTGGTTGCATTGCCATGGTAACCCTGACCCCATTTTGGGGTGATATCCTGTCTCTATAGTAACCCTGACCCCATTTTGGGGTGATTCCCTGTCTCTATAGTAACCCTGACCCCATTTTGGGGTGCTGCCCCATCTCCATGGTAACCCTGACCCCATTTGCGGTGATGCTCCATCACCGTAGTAGCCCTGACCCCATTTTGGGGTGATTCCCTGTCTCTATAGTAACCCTGACTCATTTTGGAGGTGATGCCCCTTTTCTATGCTAACCCCAAGCCTCCATTTTGGGGTGCTGTCCTGTCTCTATAATAACCGAACCCCATTTTAGGGTGATGTCCTGGTACCCTGACCCATGGGGCAGACCCACCTCTGCACCAACCCTGACCCCATTTGGGGTGATGTCCTGTCTCTATAGTAACCCTGACCCCATTTTAGGGTGATGTCCCACCTCCATGGTAACCCTGACCCCACTTTGGGGACCTGCCCCACATCGATGGTAACCCCAACCCCATTTTGGGGTGCAGGCTCATCTCCCTAGTAACCCACAACCCCATTTTGGGGCACAGCCCCACCTCTACACCAACCCTGACCCCATTTTGGGGTACAGCCCCATCTCCCTAGTAACCCTGACCCCATTTTGGGGTGATGTCCTGTCTCCATAGTAACCCACGACCCCATTTTGGGGTACAGCCCAACCTCTACACCGACACCAACCCCATTTTGGGGTGCTGCCCCACCTCTGTGGAACTCCAACCCCATTTTGGGGTGCAGCCCCATCTCCATAGTAACCCCAACCCCATTTTGGGGTGATGTCCTGTCTCTATAGTAACCCATGACCCCATTTTGGGGTGCTGTCCCACCTGCTTGGTACCCCCAACCCCATTTTGTGGTGCAGCCCCACCTCTATACCAACCCTGACCCCATTTTGGGGTGCGGAGCCAGCTCCCTAGTAACCCACGACCCCATTTGGGGTACAGCCCCACCTCTACACCAACCCCAACCCCATTTTGGGGTGATGTCCTGTCTCTATAGTAACCCCCTACCCCATTTTGGGGAACAGCCCCACCTCTACACTGACCCTGACCCCATTTTGTGGTGCTGCCCCACCTCTGTGGAACCCCGACCCCATTTTGGGGTACAGCCCCATCTCCATGGTAACCCCAACCCCATTTTGGGGTGCTGCCTTATCTCTATAGCACCCCCGACCCCATTTTGGGGTGCTGCCCCACCTGCCCCCCCCCCAGCTACCAGCACCCCATCTCCCTGCGGGGGGGGGGGGGCCTCCCTCACTCCCCCGTTATCCCCAATCCCCCCAATTTTTTGGGGGGGCTCCTCCCGTTTCCACGGCAACCGCTCCCCCCGTTGGGTGCCGGTAATGGCGGCGGGGGGGGGGGGGGGGGGCCCGTCTCCATGGCAACCCCGGTGCCGCCGGGCGGGAGGGGCCGGGCGCGGCGGGGAGGCGGCGGCGGGAGGCCCAGGCCCGGCCCCGGTGCTGGCGCCGGGCCCGGCCCCGTTCGGCCCCGTTCCGGCCCCGTTCCGGCCCCTCCGGGCCGCGATGTCGGACCCCAGCTGCTGGGGGGCCGCTCCCGCCGGTTACCGGGGGCAGCGGGCGGCCGGGGCCCTGCTGCAGCGCTCCAAGAGGTGCGGGGCCTGCGCCCGGGGGGGGGGGGGGGATCGGGGGTTGGGGGGGAGGTTTGGGGGTGCTCGGTTTGGGGGGGGGGGCTCTGGGGGTGTAATCTGGGGGTGCTCGGTTTGGGGGGGCTCTGGGGGTGCGTGGGTTTTGGGGGGGGCTCTGGGGGTGTAATGGGGGGGTGCTCGATTTGGGGGGGCCTTTGGGGGCACGTGGTTTGGGGGGGTTGCATGGTTTGGGGGGGTCTGGGGGTGTGATCTGGGGGTATGTGGTTTGGGGGGGGACTCTGGGGGTGTGTGTTTTTTGGGGGGGCTCTGGGGGTGTAATGTGGGGGTGCTTGGTTTGGGGGGGGCCTCTGGGGGTGCGTGGGTTGGGTGTGGTGGGGGCTCTGGGGGTGTAATGTGGGGGTGCTTGGTTTGGGGGGGCTCTGGGGGTGCATGGTTTAAGGGGTTGTGTGGTTTGGGGGGGCTCTGGGGGTGTAATCTGGGGGTGCATGGTTTGGGGGGGGCCGTATTGGAGATGTGTGGTTTGGGGGGGGGGGCTCTGGGGGCATGTGGTTTGGGGGGTTGCATGGTTTGGGGGGGGCCCTGGTGGTGCAATATGGGGGTGCTTGGTTTTGGGGGGGGTTGGGGGTGCAGGGTTTTGGGGGGGCTGTATTGGAGGTGGGTGGTTTGGTGGGGGGGTTTTGGGGGTGCTTGGTTTGAGGGGGACCTCTGGGGGTGCATGGTTTGTGTGGGTACGTTGGAGATGTGTGGTTTGGGGGGGTCTGTATTGGGGGTGCGTGGTTTGGGGGGGCTTGCATGGTTTGGGGGGGGCTCTGGGGGTGTAATCTGGAGTTGCATTGTTTGGAGGGTGCGTGGTTTGGGGGGGTGCATTGGGGGTGCACAGTTTTTGGGGGGTGAATTGATGCGTGGTTTGGGGGGGGTTGCACTGGGGCTGTAATCTTGGGGTGCACGATTTGGGGGGGGGGGTTGCAGCAGGGGTTGCACCTGGGGGCGCGTGGTGTGGGGGGGGCTGTCCCCTAGGGGCACCCTTTGGGGGTGCATTATTAGGGAGAGCTGCACGGCGGGGGTGCCTGCCAGTGGGGTAAGATTTTGGGGGGGGGGGTGCATTGGTTGGGAACCCTGTGCCATAGAGGGGGCGGCATTTAGGGTCTGGCAGTGGGGGGAGGCGATGATGTCCCCCCCTTCCGAGGTGCGACGCCCGATGCTGGGGACCCCCAGATTCCAGATTCGGGGTACGGGACTGAACCAGGCGAGAACCCCCATGAGAACCCCACATTTTTATATAAAACCGATGCAAATCGGGTGCGGGGGCTGAGTGGGGGGGGGGCGTTGGGTTGGGGGCGAGGTCCCCCCCCCCGCTGTTGCTCGTAGGACTGGCACGAACAAAGCGCCGCGGTTGCTTAGCGAACGAAGCCGCTCGGCGCGGGGCTGACGGCGCCTGCGTCGCTCCTGGGGGGGGAATCGCAGCCAGGAGCTGCCTCGTGCACGGGTTTGGGGTCTGTTGGGGGATGAGGGGTGGTGACTGGTGGCATCCCGGCTGTCCCTACACGTGGGTGCTGCCCGAGCACCTTCGCCGTGGGGGGAGCCTGGTGGGGAGGCGTAATTGCAGGGCGCATCCGAGGTGGTGCTCCAAAGGTGCACAGGGTTTGCTCTTCCTTCATTGTTCCTCCTAAAATCCGCAGCAGGAGCGGGGGCTGGCTTATTTCACAGCACGCAGGACACGCGTGGTGGTGTTTGGGGTGGTTTAGAGCCTTGTAGGGTCTGAGGGATCCGAATTTCCCGTGGTGGGGAGGTGAAACGGCCGGCACGGCGCGGAGCCACTCGGCTCCTGCGTTGCTGCTCACACGGCGCTTGGCTCAACGTGGCAGCGCCGTTTCCTTAGGGAGCGGGGAGTCCTGCAGAGCTTTGTCCCCATCTCCTTTCTTTTTGAGCTGTTTTCTCTTCGGGAGGTTTGGATCTCGTGGTGGTGTTGAGGAGGTGCTGGAGGCGCAGCCTGTGCCGGGCAGTGCGGAGCAGTTTCACCACTGCGACCCCGTCCACAGCATCCCCCATCGCAGCCCCCAGTCTCAGGAGGTCTCAAACATCGCGGAGAAGAAATCGCCCTGGGCACTGGCACGGAAATTTGGGTGCAGCAGCTTGGATCAACATTAACAGCAAAATATCCCACTGGAAAGGAATTTTTCCAGCAAAAATGGCCCAGCTTCATGGCACTTCGTGCCATTGCTTCATGGCACGTCCCCTGTGTCGGCAGGCACACGAGCGCCGTGCGTTTGTTGGTGGGGCTCGGAGGACTTTTTCTCCACGGCCACGTGAAGGCCGGGAGCGTTCCTAATCCTGGGAGCTGAGCTGGTGGTTTTGTACTTTGAGACGGCGCCCGTGCCCTTATCAGCCCGACCCTTGCCTCGTGCTTCGCTGGAACCGAGTGCCCGTGCCACCGGCAGGGGCTTTGTCCCGTGTGAAGCCCACGGGGTAGGGAGCTAGAAACACCAGGCAGGATAAATGAGGGATTTACCCAGGTTTTATTTATTCACCCAGGTTTGGGCTTTTCCAGCCCTAACAGCGGGGTCCCTCTGGGCAGCTCGGCCCTGTTATTCACCCCACGGGCAGTGACGAGCGCTGGCTGGCATCCGACACGCGTTGCCCTACTGCCCTGGAAGGGTTTAGTCACCGACTCTCTGATCCTTCTCCAAAACACGTCACTCGATCCCGCAGGACAGGAGCAGGATGCCCACGGCCCCGTTGCTTGCCCACGGCCAACATTTCCCCTTCCAGCTCGGGACATTTTACGATTCTGCCTCCGGCCCCGGGGGTTAGCATCACCCCGAGTGCCGGGACATCACGCTCAGGGCCGGGTGAGGCGTTATTTCGCTCCGGGGTCACGGCCGCTGTCCCACGCTTCCCGCATCCTTTGAAAAAAAACAAAACAAAACAAACACTGGATGGTGACAGCCTCGGAGATGCCGTGCGCAGGCAGCGTGTCCCCGCGTCCGAGCGGCTCCGGGGGTGCTGACGGCGATTTTCCACTCCATGTTTGGTAAAAATGCACCAAGCGTGCAGTTAAGCACCGGGGGCACCGCCGGCAGCACGAGCTGGACCTCAGCCCCGGCTCCTGCCTTCGGGAGCTTGGGTTTTTAGCCCGAGGTTTACGTGCTGCAGAGGATGGGCAGCAGCCGGAGCTGATGCATCAGGCAGAGCAGGGTTAAAGCGGAGCAAGATGGTTGCAGCAGCGAGGGTGGAGCGCGCGGAAACAGGAAACAGCAGCCTCTGCCTGTGTCAAGATTACTGGAACTTGCTTAGCCGAAGATTTTTGTTTTCACTTCCAAAATGAAACCTCCCGCGCGGGGCTGTGGAGCTGCCGGGAACGGCACCAGCACCGCGCTGTCCCCACCGCCCCTCGTCCCCTCAGGGTCCCCTCCTGCGAGAGGAGGATGAGCAGATCCGCACCTTGGCAGGGCGAAAGAGGGGAGCTGCACCAAATCTTGCAGTTCTGCCTGATAAATATCTGCCGGGGTCGGCTTGGCAGCGGAGCAAAGTTGGCTCGTGGTGCCTCGTGCGCCCGGCCCGGGCACAGCTGGGTGCTGCGGTTTTGTTGCTGCACCCATGGGTGCTGGGGAGGGTGCGCGCAGCCGGCGGTGCTGCAGCTTCAGCTGGGTCCTGGGATGCGAGCTGTAAAAGCAAACAGAGGGGCCAGGAGGGTCTTTGGGGTGCTCCCCGCACCCTGGACCTCGAGCAAAAGAGACGTGGACCCTGGTTTTTTTTTGAGAGGAGGAGGCAAAAAAAGCACGCTGGATAATTCTGGGTTAAATCAGCCCTTCCCTGCTAGGAACCACCTCGTGCTGCCTGTGCTGCTCGTGCCTTTGGGACCCGGGGAGCATCTCTTTTGTCCCGGGGCTGTGCTCCTGTGCCTGGCTGTTAAACCCCAGCCCTTAGCGGGTGCTGTCAGCGTGGCCAGGCAGCTCGGCGGCGCCGTGCAGCACGTGCAGCCGGAGGAAGTGCGGCTGCAGGAACCGCAGCCTGACCTACTTGGTCAGAACGCGGCTCTCTGACATTTTCATGGGGATTTGTCCTTGGCCTGGCTTTAAAAAACCCACACGGCTTCTGTCGTGCGTACACGAGCTGCCCCCAGCCTCCGCTCTGCTCTGGGGATATTCCCTCCCAGCAGGGTGAAAGCTTCGGTGGGGCCGGGGGGTGTTTTAAAAGCAGGTTCCCGTGGGCTGTGTGCGGGCTGCAGCAGCCTCGTGGGCAGGTGGGCAGCAAAGCAGCAGGTCCCCGCTGGCAGGGGAAGCCCCGAGCTCGAGGCTTGCAGCGAAAGGAAGCAAAAACGAAATTCCTGCAAGGAGCACTGAAGTCTTGTGCGTGTGGAGGGTGCGAATGTCGGTGATGACACGGAAACCTCGTGCTTGCAGACGTGCTCTTTCTCTTGTTTCTTTGTGGGTGCTGGCGTGCAGACCCCGAGCAGCACCGGGACGGGGTGATAAAACCATGAGCATGGACCCGTGCACGGTGCTGCTTTCTGTCCTGTGCCGTCACACACGTGGCTTCCTCCTGGAGCTGGTTTGGAGGAGCACAGCTGAGCCCTGCGCGTGCAGCACCGACGGGCAGAGCAGAGGGGACGGGGATGCTGCCAGCCTGGCGAAGGCAGCGGGGTTTCTCCGTGGGGCTGGGGGTTTAGGACCTGGCTGTCCTCCCCCTGGGCACAGGGGACACGAGGGATGTAGGAACCGGGGGCATTTTCCACGCTGCGCAGCGGGGCTGGCGGTGGCCTGAAGCAACTTGGCATTTCTGTCGCTTCCTCCTTTTAGATCCCTTTTTCTATTCTTGCCCAACAGCCCGCATGCATCTTCCCTCCCGGCAGGCCAAAACCAGAAGTGGGGCTGTGATGAGACAGTTTGGCTTCCAAACTAACCCTGCCAGCCCTTCTCCAGCAGCATTTCTCTGGGGACATGATCTTCCCAGGGGCACAAATCCGTGATCGATGCGGTGACAGCAGCCGTGTCCCCTCGCTGCCACCCGAGCGAGCTGGAGCTGGGGCTGCAACCCACACGTGTCCGAGCCCAACCAGCCCTGCCTGTGCTTTGCTTTCCCAAATGAATCCCCTTTTCTTTTTCCTTCCCCAGTTGCCGAAGCAGCAACAGGAAGAGCTTGGTGGTGGGGACGCCCTCTCCGACCCTCTCGCGTCCTCTCTCGCCGCTCTCGGTGCCGACGGGTAAGGGGAGTGCTGAGGCTGGGCTGGGCATCGCCCCAAATTACCCCGATATCCAGGGGGGGGGCAGCGAGGGCCCTGCAGGTGCTGCCTGGCTGCTTGGTGGCTTTTCCAGGAGGGAGCAGAGGGATGGCGTAGGGAATGCTGTGATTAATTCTCCTTTTCCCCTGCAGCCGGGAGCAGCCCCTTGGACAGCCCACGTAACTTCTCCACCAGCACCTCCGTCAACTTCCCCTTCGCCCGCAGGTGAGCGCCTCATCGCCCTAATCACCACCACCATCCGCAAATTGGGGCTGTTCCGTTGGTCTTAATGATTTTTTTTATTCCTCCCGATTTTTGTTTTGGTTTTGTTTTTTTGCCCTGCTGCTGCGACCGATGCTTCCCATCGCCTTCCAGCCATGCTCCTCGGACCGACAGGCAAGTACTGGCTGGGAGAAGGATTTTGTGGAGGGGAGCTGCTTCGGTGGCAGCATCCGCTCCACCTGGGCACGTCCCCGCTCCCCTTCCTTCTGTCCGTGCCATGCATCCCTAGCGGGAAGATCCCCAGCTGCAGAAGGGCTGCAGGGATTGCTGCGGGAAGAGAAACATCCCCGTTCCCATCACGCTGTCCCCCAGCCCCAAATTCTGTCCCGCTCTGTTCCTCGTGCTCGAGTTCACGCACGGGGACAGACGGATGACGTTAACCCCTGGATTGGCGCATGGAAAAAAGCTGGAGGCTTGTGTTTAGTTTTCACGCTCGTACTGGAGGAAAAAGCCAAAAGGGCTTTGCGGACATCCCCGTGGCGTAGGGGCCAGCGCATTGCCAGCTCCGTCCTCAGCCCCTGCATCGTGGCCCTGTCCTGCACGCATGGGAAATGGCGCCGGGAGGTGAAGGGCCTCATCCTGACCCGCTCCGTTGGAAACGTGTCCAAGAGGAAGCATTCGCCTACGTGCAAGCGTTTGCCTTCCTGTTTATAACGAGGCTCTGCTGTCCGTGTGCGCCCTGCACGGGTTCTTAGGAATCCTGATTTCTCCCAGAACGAAGTCCCAGGAGCTAGGATTTTGCTCCAGTTAAAAATCAGATTCTCACTTTTTACTTTTTCCCCTTTGGAAACGGAGCCGCTTGAGTGCAGCGCGTGGCTGAGCAGGGCAGGGCTGTTGTGGGGCTGTGGCTGCCATCGCTTTGGGTTCCCCACCCCAGCAGCGTCCCCATCACAGGGGGAGTAGCCCACCTCACCCCGGGTCATGAACTGTGCAAAACCACCACTATTTCACCCATTTTCATCCCGTTCTGGCAAGAGGCTTCAGGGCTGTCTCACAGGAGCAAACAGCAGTCCTCTTTCCCATCCTTATCATTCCGATGTTATTTCTGCACGTGCCTTCACGTGTTTTCTCCAGCGTGTGACAGGCGCGCGTTGCTCTTGCAGGGCTGATGGCAGGAGGTGGTCGCTGGCTTCGCTGCCCTCGTCTGGCTATGGGACCAACACCCCCAGCTCCACCGTCTCGGTAAGGTTGGCTCTCTCGGGGCAGGAGGCAAGAAGAAGCAAAGTGCTTTGGGAGCTTTGGGTGAATCCCGAGCCCTGCAGCATCACGTGCAGCAGCTGCGTCGTGTGTTCCTAATTTTAGGAAAGCTGCAGAGCCCCGCTAATGGCAGCAGCTCCTCCTGCATGTTAAAGCTTTGCTGCATCTCATTGAAATACGCATGGGACACGTCCGTGCTGAGAAAGAACAGGACAGGAGCTGCTGGGGATGCCCCAGGTGGATGGGATCAGGCCCTGGGCAGAGCCAGAGGTTGAATTTTGGGGTGGGTGCAGGCAGTGCACAAAGTCCCGGCCAGCTCCTGCCACCCGTGTTGCACGCAGTGAGCGCAGGAGGTGCACATGGAGCAACGCTCATCAGTTTTTCCAGTCTACTAAGAGGCTCGAGGCGTATTTTCCCGGCGGGTTTGCTGCTTGCCAGGCACCGACCCGTCTCCTGACCTTCTTGACCGTGTCTGTCCTTCCTTGCAGTCGTCCTCGTCCTCCCAGGAGCGGCTGCACCAGCTGCCGTACCAGCCCACCCCCGACGAGCTGCATTTCCTTTCCAAGCATTTCCGCAGCACGGAGAGCGTCACGGATGAGGACGGGCGGCACTCGCCCTGCCTGCGCCCACGATCCAGGAGCCTGAGGTACAGAAACCGCCTGTGCTGGTGTGACGATGCTCAGGGACCCGCTTCTGGCCACTTCTGCCAGCTCCTGAGCTCTTCCTGGGACATCCTGGTCCTGCTTAGCCACGGGGTTGGCCCCGATACGTTTTTTCCCCTTGTAAAGAAGTGGTAAAACTCCGTGCTTTTGCAGCTAGGCTCTGCTTTCCAGCAGTCCCTTGGCTGTCAGGATGACACTGAAAAATGAGATTACTTGGTTTGAGGTTGGGGAAAGCAGCATTTGTTCCAAAATTGCCCTTTCACAGCCTCCTGCCACGTGATCCACGGGGTTTTGGCAGACCTGGGGACCCCGGAGCAGGAGCCCAAGTGGTGGCATCTGCTCCGAGGGCACTTTATCAGATGTCACGGCCGCAGGGCCAGCAGCCTGAGCTGCCGTTAGGGGATTAAGCAGCCCGTTTGCGTGCTCAGCTTTGGAAGCGTCGCCTCCTTTAACAAAAGCCAAGCACCGCAGGCATGTCCGCACCTCCCCAGCAGGCAGAGGTGCGGCTCTCCCGGGGCTCCGCAAATTGCTCGGAGGGCTGGGAAGGCGACTTGCTGCTGCTTTCGGCTGCAATTTCATTA